GAGTATTCTTCAGTTCTTCTGTATTCTTACCTAATCCACTGAGGAGGTTTTTTATTTTCTTTGGTTTTGGAGTTTATTCTTCCATCTGCTTCTCGTTATATTGCTTAATCTCTAGGTGCGTGACTTATTCTAGCAACGTGTTTTTATTTTTATGTTAAAGTAACACTCACACAGTCCCTGCGAGTCTGATACGCCTCGGTATGGAAGATCTCTAAAAGGGATGTCCAATCCTGGGCTGGAGGGACATTTTAGGCTTGCTTTCTACCCTCTTTCCTCAAACCACCACTCTCAGTCTGCAGATGGTTTTGTCTGACTCCAAATTCCTCTGCCTCTATTCTGAGCAGCCTTCTGGCAAACCAGTATCCACCTCACAACCTCTCTACATCGTACAAGGGTCTCTGCCCCACCTAGAAACTTATTTTAAAATATGAAAGGCTAAGTATCAGACTGTTGTTCCTTGCACATTTTAATTCTGTTGATGGTGCTGCCAGTCCCAAGCCTATCAAAGGTTTCTCTTGGACTGCTGTTTTCGAGGCTGTTGGGTGCACTTGCTTCAAGTTCATAGTGAATCCTTCATAATCCCCAAGTGAAATGATTTCTCTTAAAAATGAAGACTGAGATACCCAAGCAGCCCTTCTCTCAGGCAGCCTTAGGAAAATACTAGTGAGGCCTGGCAGTGATGACACCCTTCTCCTCTGGTCCCCGATGCATTGCCTATCTCCAGGACTGCCAGCTCTTGATTTTTATGGAGCTCCGCGCGTGTTGGTAGGAGATGGAAAATTATAAGGGGTTTTTTTGGTGCTGACTTTCAGCACTGAATGCTGTACGATGGAAGTCAGTACCATTCTTCCCAATTTTACAGATACAGAAACTGATGTACAAGGGATGAAGGGACTTAGGCAGAGTCTCACAGCCTCAAGGGGCAAATTCCTAAATCTCGCCCTGGCATTTCAGCTATTCCCTGCTCATAACCGTGTCTTGCTACTTCCGTAGCAAATACTAATATAGTATATAGCTGGTGAGAGCAACCAGCCTTGCTCAGCTTTGCTGCTATTGTGAAAACCCCTCTGGTTTCTTTATTCTGCTAATTTTCCCTGTGCTTAAGAGCTCAGCCGCTCCAGAGGATCTGGCTGGCGATTGGCGATGGCATAGGTGTGCTCAGCAACACACTTTGACTCGAATTCTGCATCCCTGCACTTCTGCAAAGCAAGTGAGCAATGCTGCGCACACAGGGCACCCTCCCTCTGTGAGAGCATTAATTATTACTGCTGCTTGCAAAATGATCTGTGAACTAAAATGGGTTTTTCTAATTCTGTCACTGGAGAGGAACTTCTGGCTAATCAACTGGAGGCAGATGGAGTTGGCAGAGATGACATAAAGGCCTGCACTAATTACTCCACGTGTCTCAAGAACTGATAAGAGAGTTGATTTATGCCTGGAACAGCCTGATAATTCCGGAAATAATAGATATTGCATGACTTAATTAATCAATGTAAACCTGGTTGTGCTGTGATTTTGAATTAACAGCCATGGTATAGCGCAGGTGTATAGAAGGTGGGCTACAGGCTGCTACTGCAAGAAGCCAAAATGTACCTACTAATGGCCCACGCCAGGGACCAGGCGCTGGATACATCCTGCAATTGTCTCTTATTGTGTCTGATGAGTTCTTGTGCTTTTGTGCTTGGGGAATGTGAGTGTGGCCATGTATGACAGCACAAAGAAGGAAAATGGTGCATATATACACAGCAACGGCGGGCAGGAGCAAGAACTTACTTAGGAATTGGTCCATGCTGTGAGTTCATGCTAAATAGTTCCTTCAGGAGTAAGTAGTTTTAAGGTCTGAGCGGTTTTAGCTCAGGCTATCGCCCTGTCTGGTGTGCTTGGTCCTCAGGGCTGCTGGTCATGCAGGCAGGTCTGTTCTCCACCTGCACAGCTGAAAAGGGGACACCCTTGGGTGGGAGCGAAGGCTCTGTCCACCCTGAGCTACATGTTTTGCTCTGGCTGTTGTCCTGATTTCTCCATTCTTCATACACAGACCATTGCAGCTCTATGGCCCATCATGGGACCTCCCTGTAGTAACCCCTACCTCTCACCCCAGGCTAATTTTTCAGACGTAATACAATTTTGCTGTTTGTATTTGCAGACGCACGATGTTTTCCTGGACCAGCCTGGGAGGATGGACAGGTTTTACTCTGTTTTCACCCTCCCAGGAGCTTGTTTTCATTCCTTCACCGTGGTTGTTGAAGTGAAGATAGATGCATGGGCTGGTTGAGACCCACCCATGGTAAGCCAGAATATATATCACTGAACAGAAACACATGCTTTTCCTAACTAAGACAGATGTCAGTTAGAAATGTCTTAGGTATGAAGACAAATCCAAAAAGGAACTTGCCTGCTAGGGCTTATGGTGAGAGCGGTAGATCCAGAGTCAGTTTTAGCCTATTAAGAAGCCCAGTGGCTAGGTCTCTGGGCAGGGATTTAACTTCTCCTCCTGCAGAGCATTTTAAGGAGAAGTATTTGTGTATGTCATGGTTTAACCCCAGCCGGCAACTAAGCCCCACCCAGCCGATCGCTCACTCTCACCTGGAGGGATGGGGGAGAGCATC